CTTTCACATTATGCACATAGCCACCAAAGTAAAACTCATGGACACTATCCACGGGCTTCTTCACTAGTACTACTCCATCAGCTCCCTAGCCCTCTTCACTGCCGTCAGCGACTTGCCCCTGCGTTGGAGATGAGCACGCATGGTGTGGCACTCACTCTGGGAAACAGAAGTTCATCACTCATCCACTCGGACGCATGACAAAGTTGGGCATGATGAAGGTACACTCGAGGAAGACTGGTGCCCCTCTTAGTTCTAGGAGCATCAGGGTTCTGCATAGAGAAGCGTTCTCTACATCGACAGAGGAGATAAGGTACCGTACGCGATGGAGGCAGGAGCAAATTTTGGAGCTCCTGCTCCATCCATGTTTTCTTTCAAAGTATCGAAAGATTGGCCTTCTGACCATAAGTTTATACTGCATGAACTGTCTGGCAATTCCTTAAACGTGAAAGAGTCTGTCAAGCAGATTGATCTGCATGGGAAACCTGGTTGGTGCCAAGTCACACTTTCAAGTAGAGCTCAGCGCGAGACGGTTTTGAGCAAGGGACTTTGCATACGAGGTGAGCAGTTGGAACTGCATCTCCCCGACGAGGGCTCCACTCAGCTCCATGTGTTTGGTTGCCCTGTCGGAATGCCTGATGGCCCACTTTCGGCATCTTTGTCGGTTTTCGGCAAGCTCATTGGTCCGCCATCACACGGCAAGATCGGCTTCGAAGGCACGTCCTTCAAGACAGGAATCAGGTACGTCAATATCGTACTGTCTAAACCCGTACCGTCGTGTGTGACCGTTGGGAAGAGAAAGTTGCGGGTGTGGCACAGGGGGCAGTCACCCAGACGTGCTGGCGCTGTGGCACAACGGGTCATGAAGCACGAGAGTGTAAAGTAAGGGCGGGCAGAGAGCCTGAAAGTTCAAGTCGTACTAACCAGGGAGTCGTAAAATGGTATTTTACGACTCCCTGGTACTAACAGTAACTCTAGTTCTGAACCTTCAGATTCTGTACCTCAGTTGACCTGCGAACGTGGGAGTACCCGTACGAATTGCGTAGGTTCGAACTCTGAAGTGAACTGCAACACATCCCAGCACGGTTTTTTTTTTTTTTTTTTTTTTTTTTTTTTTACTATGTTCACATTCCCAGCTCGAAAATAATAAGAAAGACAATGATACTGAGACTAGGACGAACGTGACAACTATTGAGCAGGGGCTGCAGCGAGACGCAGCAGTGATGGTGGGGCATTGATGGCTCTGCCGACCTGAGGTCTCGGCATCACGGCCAAAAACACGCACCAAAAACAAAAGATAGAGCTGTACGAGTCAGCAAAATGAAAAGAAAGGAAGGCCTTAAGGGTTAACACCAGCGAGTGTGCGGGAGAAACTGTGAGACTATTAACAAATTACAAGGGCTGTTACTGAGATGAGCATCATCATGGCTGATCATGGTGAGTCGGTTGTCTGAGCCAGTTGTGGTGCATAGATAGGGATAGAGGAGAACGACGAGAGCATCATCATACCGAGTCGACTGCCCAGAGCCAGTTTGTGCTTCGCAGATGGCGATAAACATTAGTTTTGAATGCTTGTATTCCCTTGCTGTGGGGAGGCTGGGACAGAAGAGCGGCGGGGAGGGAGTTCCAGTCACTAATACTGCAGTGTGGGAACGAGCGCTTTAATGCCAGCGGGACAGATGCAAGCAGCTGGTGTTGGAGCTGGTGATCATGGCCAATGACGCTAACATGCTCGCTGCGAGTTCTGGGGCTGGATGAGGGGAAATGGCGCGGTGGCAAAACAGAGAGTAGCTGCGGAGGGCCAGGCAGGTAATGCAGCTTGTATAGGCAGGCAAGCGAGGCAACAGTACGACGGATGGCCAGGCTAGGTAATAGTGCACCTGGACCGATGATTCGCAGAGCACAGCGTTGGATATGATCCAGGCGTTGCAGGTAGCTGGGCGGAGCACCTATCCAGATGAGGGGGGCATACTCCATCACTGGTCGAACAAATGCCTTGTATACTGTGGCGCGGCCGGCTGGAGAGAGAATGTGCGCTGCACGGCGCAGGAAGCCCAGGCGTTGTTTGGCTCGAGTGGCAACCTTCCGGAGATGAGTGCTGAATGACAGCTTCGAGTCAAAGGTCACTCCAAGTAAAGAGAGAGCCTTCTCCTCAAGGACAGGAGTGCCGCCGAAGACAATGCGAGGCAAATTGATGGGGGTTCTGCGGAGAGTGGCGGTCATGGCTTGGGACTTCGACGGTTCGAAGGAGATGCGCCATCTGCGGCCCCACTGATGCAAGCGATCCACAGAAGTCTGGAGGCTCAATGCTGCGTCGGCTGGGGATGTGTCGAGGGATATCAGGCTATACAAGGTAGTATCGTCGGCATACGCCTCCAGGTGGGCTCCGGGTGACAGGGTCTCTGAGGCGTCGTTCACGTAAATCAGGAAGAGTGTAGGGCCGAGTATGCTCCCTTGGGGAACTCCTGCTGATATGGTATACAGCGATGAGGTTTGGCCGCCCACCAAGCATTGAATGGACCGTCCACCGGTGACAGTGTATCTAGCATACCCACTACACGCACAAAAGCACAGCAACCTACATCTACGCTGAGTATGGCCAGTGCTACTGCGGGCCCAAGCACGGAGGACGTCATCCAGGTACCTGAGGCAGTGACAGTACGAGCTTCAGAACACCATGACACAGCCGTACCAGTCCCACCTGCCGCGGGACACGTAACTGAACCCGGTGGTAAAGGAGACAACACAACTCCCCAGAAACCTTTTGTGGCTGCATCTTCTAACGACCAAGTGCAACACAACAATAGCCTTGCGTCCAATACAAATGCAGTACATGTAACCGGTACTGAAGCAGCTGTAACTTCCACTCCAGCTCCTGGATCTTCTGTCCCTACCCCGGTGCAAGATTGGCACGTCGCAGGTGGAAAGTGTTCTACTTTTTCTCCAAAAATCTTGCAACAAACCGCCTCCGCTTTTCCCTCTGTCGCGAACCGCTTTAGTGCGCTGGAGCACTCCATGGAGAGGAAGCGTAAGCGAGGAGCCAGGAGTGACGCATCATCCAGTGCCGACTTGTCCGCGAAGGCTGTCTGCCCGACCACCAAGACAGACGACTTCTATGGTACCGGGTCGGACTGGGAGGAAGAGTGTGAGGGTGACGACGGCCGCGGTAGGAGCCGTCATGAAGTGGTGCAGTGAACTGCACCTTGAAATAGTATGCTTGAACTGCCTGTGTATTTTTTGTTTTAGGTTTTGGATTAGTTTCTAGATGTAGTTCTTCCTTATAGATCTATTAAATGAATCCACAATTACATAGAGCTACTGTCGGTCGACAGAAGTCTTGTAAACTTGCTTTTCTGAATGTATGCAGCCTTAGAAAGAAGTTAGGCGAAATCCAAAACTTCATAAACTACCACAATGTAGATATCTTCGGCATTGCTGAAACTTGGCTTGATTGTTCGATTTCTGACTCATCCATTCATATACCTCATTATAGACTCTTTAGGCGCGATCGCGGGCACAGCGGTATAGCTGTATACAGTCGAGATACCCTGGCTGTTTCCAGACACGCTGAACTCGAGAGTGACACAATCGAAAATCTGATACTCACCTTGAAGACAGAATCCGGTGAACCCATCACCCTCGCTACGTTCTACCTTCCGCCTTCCACTACTGCTGCAGTATGGCAAGACCTAGAAATCAGTCTGAACAATCTAACCTTGCGACGAAACAACCGCGTGGTCGCCATTGGTGACTTCAATGTGGACATGTGCTCGGGACACAGCCGGATGCACACCATGAGTAGTAAGTGCGGGGCAGGTTCTGGCACACTTTTTGACCTTTGACCTTTGGGCCAAATAAGGCACACTGTGTCGGTCGTGCTTGGTCTGGCCCCGGGACCCCCCAGAGTTTGACCTTTGACCCCTGGCATGCCATAAATGTGCCATAAAGGTTCTTTTCCGTGGCGAACGTGCACTTGTGCATGTTCGGTGCATTCGCACCGGGGAGTAGTAAAATACGTACTATTCCCTGATTTGCACATCGTAGATGTGCATTGCATGCATGAATGACATATTGCACATGCGTGCATACGCACGCGGAGCGTGTGACCTTCAGAGACCCTGCTTGCGGGAAAGACGCATTGCAACACAAGGTGTACTAGTACACGTGTCATTATACTACTCCCTGATTCGCACTTCGTAGATGTGCAGCAAACAAGTAAGTGTTAGTTAGTTCACGTGCCATGCACTCGTTTTATTCGCACATCGTAGATGTGCACTGACAAGTTGCCCATACAGAGCATGCCTAATCGGTTTTTCGATCGGTTAAGAGAATGTTCAAATTCGGCCATATTATGAGCTCCAAGATCAGAATTCGGCTCGACATAGTACTTGAAGTCACCGTTCCCATTACGTCATGTACATTTACATACACCCTGTTGAAGCACTGAAGCATCGGTTTTCGGCGAATTCAACATGCGAATTTTTGAACATTCGGCGAAAAGATGGGTAATTTCTTCAAAACCACTTTTTTCGGCGAATTTTTCGGCCGGCCGATTTGGGAAATGCCTACTGTCCATGCAGGTGCAATAGATGCATATTTCTATTTTGATCGGAATTCAGTTAGAATCAACCGGCTACGCCCGCAGTATCATGCATCAAAACAATTATTGAAGGGGTGTCACAGTGAAGCAGTGTTGCTACGCACCACAAATCCCCTCTGCACTGTACTGAATCTATACTGGAGAATCCAGAGTGGCCAGCAAAGAGTCACAACCCGCGGGTATCCAGTCACACTAAGGCATGTCCACCATTCCCCACATTTTCACCGTAACAAAACACAATACTGTTTACTATAATACACTTTTATTTAAATTGACTTGGATGAGTCTGTAGAAGAGAACACAATGCACGCACACGCACGCATGCGCGGACACACACACGCACACACGCACACACACACATCTAGGTTATAGTGCTATATACGTATCTAGGGTTTAGGAAGCACGAGAATATGTCGAAGCACCCACACATACCCCTTTATGCAGTGTACTTCAGTAGCCCAACACATTACGACCGCTCAGGACCATCACAAAACACATTACGACTGCACTGTTACTACACTACACACACAGTTACTACACTACGCCTGTTACAAGTACTTACAAATAATTTTGAAACAAATGGCACATCCCGAAGACGGCAGCTAGCTCCAGACCTTCATACATACATCATCATCATCTGTAAAACCAAGCATGAGCGCACACAAACACTATTAGTGTCACGAATACGGAAGCAGGGTAAGACAAGAGGATACGAAACAAGTAAGTATCGCTATAACGAGGGGGGTTAGTATACATGTAGACAGAGCAGTGCTTACTTACAGGGTCCTGATACGCTCCATGGCGTCCCGGTAGTCAGACTGCAACAGCAGCCCGACCTGCCGGCCCTCCCAGTAACGGGTTCGATGGGCCGCACCCGCCAGGTGTGCGGCCACGGCTTGGCCTCCCACCAGCCTTTCTCCACTGTAAAAATGAAAGAAACCGCAGAAAGCACAGTGTCATAGAGCTCTTTTGTTGGGGGAGAGAGCTAGGAGCACTGCACACTTACCATTTGTCACAATATATTATGAGAAAGAGGCGGCGCTTGACGCACCGCCTCAGATGCTGGAATAGGGGTATTACCCCTGTCAGTCGGATACCGCAGTGACAAGTGAACGCCATTTGGACTCTTTTCAGGGTAATGATACTGAAGTGAAGGTGTGAACCGCAAAGCAAGGCTTTTACCTTCTTCCTGTCGAATTCGCTCCCCAGCTGCATACCGACATCATCCGCTAAAATCCAATCATACCAAGTAATGCAAAGGTCATCAGTTGACCTTTTGGACTTTTCAACTCTTATCCAAAACCACCAAGAGGAAAAAAAACCCAGGATAATAATAATAATCTTTATTTCAGGATTACCCAAAGGCTAACGCCTATCTGGGGATGAAGAAGACGTCAGTTGTAGAAGCGTTTGTGGAGGAGTTGTTACATTATTCTCAGTAAATAGATATGGCTGATACATTCGGTGTAGACGTGGACGACCGGTCGTGGTCTCTCACCACGGGTCCTTTACTAATAGAAAGGCGGACGCCAATAAGAACTGTTGTGGACTTGGCAGATCAAAACGCGCAGCGAGAAATTTGGCACGTCGATGGTAGACTCCATCGGGAGGACGGACCAGCTCTTGTTGATAGTAGGGGAGTGTCCGCCTGGTGCTATGGAGGTCGCCTTCATCGCGTTAATGAACCTGCTTGGATAGGACGGGGTAGCATCGAGTACTACCTCAACGGCGTCTAGAGCCGGCGGTGCTGCAGTCAGTTATTGTGACGCCACATGCTGTATTCTACGGTGGTATCACCACGGAAGGCTCCACAGGGAGAATGCGCCAGCGGTGATACGCAGGGAAGGTAACAATCGTGTACGGGAGTGGTACCGATACAACCTTCGGCATAGGGAAGATGGACCTGCTTTCATCTCTCAGGAGGAGGAGGGTGTCTATCAGTGGTACCTCAACGGGGTGTATTACGGTGACCACCATCAAGACCAGGCAATACACCCCATGGAGCTGCAGTACATCAATGTAGTGCCTACTAAGGTAGACTCGTCAGCAATAAGTCATGAGTCCATTTGTGTGATTTGTCAGGATACCCTGGACCGTCCTCTATCCAAGTTGGAGTGCAGTCATGAATTTCACTTCCACTGCATCAAGGAGTGGACCAGTTCTGCCCCCAGCCCTACTTGCCTAACCTGCCGCTACTCCATGACTGCTGAGGACTTGGTTGAGTTCTTGTAGTAATACATGACACAGCTGCATGTAGGCGACTACGAATGACCAGTCATGTGCTACAGACGGACACGGACACGCCACCCTAAGTAGCCATGAGCGGCTCTTTGGACAAGGGCAACAAAGCACCCCGTGGGCGGCCAAGGTTGACACTAGCCACAAGTCTGCTCGCTCAGTTGAATAAGCTGGGTGTGCCCATGAAGACCATGGAAGACCTTTCCAGGTGCCGGCAACAAGCAGAGGACAAGACAGACTGGAAGAAACTGTGCAGCTCGACACTCGAGGACAAATCAGTATCAGCAGCTACTACACCTTGCTGATGATGCTCACAAGACAGAAGTGGGAAAAACACTGAATTTCTTTATTTAGTGCTCAACTACGCGAAATGTGTTATTATTATTATACATGTTCAACTGTACTCAGTCTGGCTGACTGCCATTCTCTACCACACATTACCGGACACTGTTGTGGTTGTCGTCGTTATCGTCGTCGTCATTGTTGATGTTGTTGTTGTCGTTATCGTCGTTGTTGTTGATTTTGTTGGTGGCTGTTGCTGTCGGTTGTTGTCGGTTGTTGTCGGTTGTTGTCGTTTGCTGTTGGTTGTTGTTGATGTTGTTGTCGGTTGTTGTCGTCGTTATCGTCGTCGTTGTTGATGTTGTTATTAGTTGTTGCTGTCGGTTGTTGGTTGTTATTAGTTGTTGCTGTCGGTTGTTGGTTGTTATTGTTGATTGTTGTGGGTTGTTGTTGGCTGTTGGATGTTGTTGTCGGTTGTTGTCGGTTGTTGTTGGTTATTGTTGGTTGTTGTTGGTTGTTGTTGGGCGTTGTTGGTTGTTGTCGGTTGTTGTCAGGTGTTGTTGGTTGTTGTTGGTTGTTGTTGTCGGTTGTTGTCGGTTGTTGGGTGTTGTTGTCGGTTGTTGGGTGTTGTTGTTGATTGTTGGGTGTTGTTGTCGGTTGTTGGGTGTTGTTGTTGGTTGGTGTTGGTTGTTGTTGGTTGTTGTCGGTTGTTGTCCGTTGTTGTTGGTTGTTGTTGGTTGTTGTTGGCTGTTGTTGGTTGTTGTTGTTTGTTGTTGTCGGTTGTTGGTTGTTGTTGTGTGTTGTTGTTGGTTGTAGTTGGTTGTTGTCAGTTGTTGTTGGTTGTTGGATGTTGTTGTCGGTTGTTGTCGGTTGTTGTTGGTTGTTGCTGGTTGTTGTTGGCTGTTGTTGGTTGTTGTTGGTTGTTGTTGGTTGTTGTTGTTTGTTGTTGTCGGTTGTTGGTTGTTGTTGTTTGTTGTTGTTGTTGGTTGTAGTTGGTTGTTGTCAGTTGTTGTTGGTTGTTGGATGTTGTTGTCGGTTGTTGTCGGTTGTAGTTGGTTGTTGTCGGTTGTTGTTGGTTGTTGTTGGCTGTTGTTGGCTGTTTTTGGTTGTTGTCGGTTGTTGTCGGTTGTTGTGTTTTAATCGTTATTTTGTTCATTATCCAGGAGGATGTTGCTATGATCCAGTACCATTTTTTCGCATATATGAGACAAGTTTGTGTAACGTTAGTGTGACGTGGGGTATGCTGATTGGATGTGAGGTGGTGAGAGTATGCTGATTGGCCAATAACAATTAGTGGAAGGGATAAAGTAATGCGCTGCTTGTGCAGCGTAACCAAACACATGGTCTGTGGGAAACACCCTAGTAAAATAAATAATAATAATAATAACATGAATTGCCACCAGCACTTGAGAGACTCGAGCCCGCCACCTTGTTCAAATCGGACTTGGTAGCTTCATACTGGAACTTAATCTTCTTCTTTTTGAGGTATGACCGTACAAAATGCGCTTGGATTTTTTCATTTTATTTTATTTTTTTATTTTTTTTGTTTTTTAGTTTTTTCATTGCAACTTTTTAGCAGATAGCAACTTTTTTAGCAGACTCGTGAAACAACGGTGAATCTGGAACGAATAAATGGTCCATGTCAAAGGCATGACGAGTCTCGAAGTCTTCACATTCACGATGGAACCTTGTCATGATTGACGCATTCCTTGATGGTGCGCACATGAAATCACCCTGGCTCATCTTTTCCAACTCCATTCTTTTCACATCCTGCAACCCATACCCTACTAGTATCAGTGGGGATGCTAGAATCAGAAGAGGCAAGGCAGCACTCTTCCGTGGATGTATTACTCGACACAACACCACCCATACTTGTTTTCTAGAAGTTTTGACTATAATGATATATTGCAGCAGGAAGTAGTATACAGTCAAATAGGATAGGATAAGAATGAATGATCAACTGTCTGATAAAGAATGCAGTTCATTAAAGACTTATTGGAAGGTCTCTACCAGCTGATCGTCATGTTGGACGGCGACACTGCATAATGATATGAAGCTCTCAGTTAGCTGTTTCAGTTCCGTGGTAGAAAGTGTCATGTGTGCGTCCAGAGAACGATGAAAACATCTGGGGTCCACGTTGATGCAGACGATTGGAGCAACAGCAAGACGTACCTTCAACGCTTGCTCGTCAATGTCGAGGGAGACTGCCCCGGGGTAGATGAAAACATCTTGTTCCACATCCAGTTCGAACCAGCTGGTCGGGACTAGCTTGCTTTCACCGTTGATGTACACCCGACATTGACCGTAGGACGAACGTGATGGGTAGAAGTTGGTCTTGATCTTCTCCACACGTCCTCTTCGGAGAGTGTCACGGAGCGACGGACAAGTCTTGATCAAGTTCGTAATGATGAACTCAGTGGACTCATTCAGTTCGATGTAAACCTGTCCTTGAGCATCTTTGCGAGCTGTTGCCGTACTACCACAGGCTGGTAGAGCTCCTGAAGGGAAGTACATCTTATAACCAGGCTTGTAGAAGGATCTACCTGATGACTTGTAGGACAGTTGCATGTCCTCCTGAAACCCATCTACCACAATCTCTTTGTGGAGCTTGGTAGGAGCAGGTGACACATAGCGACGCTTAGCCGGTACTGCCTTCGAAGAGAGCACAACTTGAGGAGGCTCAGCAGGAAGAGCGGAATTCTTCCTCACCCGCCGCTCGTATAGGTTATCCATCTTCCAGGAAGCGAAGGGAGAACAACTCATCAGCACTGTATTCGATGAACGAATGACTCGACTACAGGACAACTACCCGTATTTATACAAGGCAGAGACGGAGGCGGGTTGAAGTGATAAAATATGTGTCAGCTAGGTCAACCAATCACCATCAAGCCCGCCAAAAACATTTGACCACTCAGCATTGAGTCCACCAAAAACATTTGACCAACCAGCATCAAACCCGCCAAAAGCATTTTGTCCAATCAGCGGCATGCCCACCAAAATCATATCTCATCTTAAAGATTCCTTACATGATACCGCCACTTTAGTGAACTGATACAGTATGGAAATAAGATCAGAGTCAAACGTGTGCAAGTTCTGAATCACGTGATCAAGTGAATAGGTTTCCCAACAATAGGCATCAATCAATGATACCATAAGAGATGTATCAGATGGAGATAAAATCAGCAAATTCGTACGCAACGTGGACAGTTGAGAAGAAGACACCATCCTGGTGGACTCCATGAGACGCAGTACATATAGGAGTGGAAAATGCTGAGGAAGAGGTTTCATGATTCGACTGAACCTCAACCATGATACATTGCTACGAGGTAAGTAGGAACGCAGTTTACGTAGTACATCCACATTCGTATCGTATACTATGCAGGATAATGCTATAGCATAGTTTATACTCTTGTACAAACAGGATTTTTTCATCGCAAGTATCTGCTCCCGAAGAGTGTGTACGCAAAGCTGATCGGATAAGAGTTCAGTTTTCGAAAGAAAATGCAAAAGATGACGATCCACACCGCTTAACCGCTCATGTACCGCGTAAGGCTTCTTCATCAAACTACATCTCCTATGCACATCATCTTCAGGGAAGTAAATCACC